TGAACGATATAGGCTTAGACGTTTCAAAAGAATATCGATTTCTTCTGCCACATTCTCTGATTTTAAATCCAATGATCCTCGACCTTTTCGAGAAGTTATTGTTAACGGCATACCAGTGTTAGCTCTTTTTGACAGTGGAGCCACTGTAACTTGCTTAGGCAAAAATTGTTTTTCGTTGATTGATGATTTAAAATTGAATATTAATCCGGTATATAAGTGTAGTGTTGGTACAGCGAATGGTCAACGAGTTTCTTGTTGTGGAAAAGTTAGTGTTGAGCTCTCGTACGATGGTAAAACGAAAACCATGGAGGTTTATCTTGTACCTGGCTTAGAGAATTCAATGTATTGTGGTATAGACTTTTGGAAAGAATTCGGTGTAGCACCAAAACTTATTAGCAGCTTGGAGATCAGTTCTAAAGAAGTAGATTCAGATATGCATATATTGTCCGATGATGAATCAGCTTTGCTTGAGAAAGCCAAAGACAGTTTCCTTGATTTCGATAAGCATGGTCTCGGAAAGACAAATCTGGAGGAGCATGTGATTGATACAGGGGATGCTGTCCCAATAAAGCAGCGACATTATCCTGTTTCTCCAGCTGTCGAAACTCTTATATATCAGGAACTTGATCGCATGCTGAGTCTAGGTGTTATTGAACCAAGTACAAGCCCATGGAATTCTCCAGTCACCTTAGTGCGTAGAGGCGAAAAAAATCGACTATGTTTAGACGCCCGTAAGTTGAATGAAGTCACAGTGAAAGATGCATACCCGCTACCATTTATAGATGCTTTGTTAGGTCGACTTCAAGACACATATTATATATCGAGCATAGATCTGAAGGATGCATTCTGGCAGGTCCCTCTGGCAGCAGAAAGCCGTCCGAAGACTGCGTTCACAGTGCCGGGGAGACCACACTATCAATTCACTGTCATGCCGTTTGGGTTATGCAATGCAGCCCAACGGTTATGTCGGTTAATGGATAGAGTGATCTCACCGGAACTGAAGAACAAAGTTTTCGTATACCTCGATGACTTGCTAGCAGTCTCCCCAGATTTTGATTCACATATCGAACTGCTTCGTAAGGTAGGTGAAATGTTGTCCAGAGCGAACCTGACCATCAATTTGAAAAAGTCTAAATTTTGCCGCAGAGAACTTAAATATTTGGGGTATATAGTTGGCGAAGGCAAATTAAAGCCAGATCCATCCAACATTAACTCAATCACTGACATTCCGATTCCGAAGTCCACTAGAGACGTTCGTAGGTTTCTAGGGATGGCTTCTTGGTTCAGGCGATTTATTAAAGATTATGCTGAGATTACAGCTGCCTTAACCAGCACCTTGAAAAAGGGCAAAGTTTTTTCTTTCGATCATAATGCTATCGAGGCTTTTAACAAATTAAAAGTAGCTTTGACTACAAGTCCTGTATTGAATCATCCAGTTTTCGACAAAAGATTTTATGTCCAGTGTGACGCCTCCAATTTAGGGTTAGGCGCAGTGTTGTTCCAACTAGACGCTGAAGGCTTGGAACGTCCCATCGCCTTTCATTCTGCCCAGTTGACAAAAGCCGAAAGAAACTATAGTGTCACTGAGCGAGAGTGCTTAGCCGTGATCAGTGCAATAAAGAAATTCCGTCCATATATTGAGATGATGCCGTTTACTGTTGTTACTGATCATAGTGCGTTGAAATGGCTGATGGGACAGAAAGATCTCAGCGGTCGTTTAGCGAGGTGGAGTTTAAAACTACAGGCTTTTAATTTCGATATTCAGCATCGTAAGGGGTCGCAAAATGTAGTTGCTGACACTTTATCCCGCTTACACATGGATGAAATCAACATGTTCACTGATGAAAAACCTTTGATTGATTTAGACTCGCCCGAATTCAAGAATGAAGAATATACACAGTTGGTTGAAATGGTGCGTGAGAACCAAGACAGTCTTCCCGATTTAAAAATTTCAGATTAATTCGTTTATAAAAAGACACTTCCGTCTGATGGCACACCGGTGCATGAAAATTTCATTTGGAAACTTTGGGTTCCATCCGAATTGACCGAATCACTGATAGAAAATGCTCACAAATCAATAGTTAAAAGTCACTGTGGTATTGGTAGAACTATAGCGGCACTTCGACAATATTTTTATTGGCCGAAGATGGCAAAGCAAATTCGCGATTATATAAACTCATGTGTTTTGTGTAAAGAAACGAAAGCTCCAAACAAGGTGTTACGACCGAAAATGGGAAACGAGACCGTCACTGATAGACCTTTTCAGAAAATTTTCATTGATTTTATAGGACCCTTCCCGAGGTCTAAGTTAGGTAACGCATACGTCTTTATCGTATTAGATCACTTAACAAAGTTCGTTCTTTTAAAGCCTTTAGCGAAAGCAAACTCTCGAAACGTCATTCGATTTTTGGAAAGTGAAGTTTTCCATAAATTTGGAGTACCACAAACCGTCCATTCTGACAACGGAAAACAGTTCATTTCTTCCGAATTCACTTCATTTTTAGATCGGTACGGATGTACTCAGATCCGAAACGCGGTGTATTCTCCACAGGCGAATGCGTCGGAGAGAGTCAACCGAACAATTGTTGCGGCGATTCGAACTTATGTATCCGAAGATCAGAAGGATTGGGACCGTTATTTATCTGCGATTGAGTGTTCACTTCGATCCACAATCCATACATCCATAGGATGTTCACCGTATTTTTCACTTTTCGGAACACACATGATCACACACGGTAGCGCGTATACATTAGCGAGTAAGCTAGGCACATTAGAAGACGGATCGGTTGAAATTATCCCGAAACACAACATACACGATCTAATCAGAGACACGATTAAAGAAAAACTCCACGATTCTTACGAAAGGTCAGCGGCACGTTATAACACTAGATCACGTGAAGTTAGCTTCAAGCCCGGACAGGAAGTACTTCGACGCAACTTTGTATTAAGTGACGCAGCCCGCCATCTTAATTCAAAGCTTTGTCGGAAGTTCGTCAAATGTAGGGTAGTCAAAAAGGTAGGGACCTCACTTTATGAAATCGAGGATCTGCAAGGACGTAACATAGGGGTCTATCACTCGAAAGACCTCCAACATATAGTTCCCATGAAATAGTTGCCCGGCTGTTGTTGAATTGTATTAGGGTCGCGGTTCTTCCCCACTTCCGATTTTGAGAAAGGTTAACGTCCCGAATCAGCGTTACTCCGTTACTCCAGCAGTACTCCGGGCATATAACCCCAACATCTCATTGCTATCAATTTTCAACATTTTGGCCAATAGTGAATCTTTTGGAAGCGACTATTAAGACCATTGTTCAACACAATACCGCATTGAACATTTAAAGCTGTTAGTGCCGGCGTTCAACAAAATCGTAAGCTTCAAATCCAACGTGCTATAAAGAAGAAACGGAGTAAGTACGTCAACAAGAGCCCGTGAATATTTGACGCTGATAAAATCAGAGCAAGGGTAACCATCACCTCCAGTCACAGACGGGATGGTGTGGGCCCAGTTTTTTTAAAAAGTTCCTCGACGGTCAGCCGAGATATTTCTCAATTATTTTGTTGTTTCTTTTGGACAAATTCCAAAATTCTTGTTTTTTTTGTTGCAATCCCAATAATTTTAAATTGTTTTTAAAAAAATTATATGAGCCTGTACCAATGTACCAATTTAAAAATCTATTTATATGTACATAATTTCCTTTTTTTATTTCTTTAAAAATACGTCTATAGGTATAAGAACATTATATATATATAAGAACATATATACATATATAGGCATACATATATATGAGTATATATATATATATATGAATATATACATATGTATATATATAAATCAATATAAATATACAAATATTTCATTTTTTTATCATCATTTAGAGTCAATATTGTTAGTTGTTAATCCCATTGGGTGAGAAAAACAAAATCAGCCCTTATTAATTAAAAGGACTATATAATAACCCCTTTGAGCTCAATAGGTGTTAGGTATTATTTGGATTATTAATTTAGTGCATATTGGCACCGAAATGGGATTGACAAACAAAAATTTAAATTAATAATTGTTGTATGTATCCTGCTGATTAAATTGTGCCTTTTTCTTTGATTTTTTTTAATTGTATAGATTTTGATTCCACTTATGGATATAATTAGATTTAAGTAAATCTAAGTATAATCTTTAAGTAGAAATTGTTTATTCTTAAAATGAATATGAATTTGAATAATGAATTTAAAAGAAAATAAAATGTGTTCTAGTTAATTAATTTAAAAAGGATATGTAAACAGGGTTAAGGTACAGCCGACAGAATTTGGGGGTCTTCAAATGTTTTGAAGCCCATATGGGGGTTCTTACAGAACCCATGGGAGGGATAAGAGGTACCCATTGTCATCTAGGGGTACCAACCACAACGACAACAACATTTTGAGTCCGCAACAACAACAAACTTAATCGATGGTATTTTCTTTGTGACATATGAATTTTTTTTGTACGTAGCCGTGTGTGGACGACTGAGAGTAGCCGGTACACAATAAAAGAGTAGGTCTCCTGTCATCATGGCCAAACCAATCTACGGTTTGTTAACCTTATGAATAAACCTTGTGTTGTGCGCAGATTTCGAAGAAGGATATTCTCATTTAAATTTTGAAAGCTGAATGTCGACAAAAGTAAAATTATGAAAAAATTGGAATCATATGAGACTACCTTGTATAATTATGCCACGGCAAACAATATTTATAAGTATTGCATTTTTTATATTCTTCAAAAAATTTGATGAATTCGAGCAAATTAAGATAATGGGTGGATTTCATTTTGTTCGGTAAAACGATGTAGCAATTCTACCATAGTATAATCCATAATTCGTTATTTATTATTTTGTTTACAGATGTTATACATTGTGCAATTTTTAAAAGTATTTTAAGAAATTCGCATCTTTGATTGTTTATACTCAAATCATGTATTTTATAATGTTATGCATTCATATTATTAAAGATTCACAAATTTGTACAATTCAGCAAAAACATACACCCTTCTTATCGTTTTTATTCTCATTCTCTACTTCCAGTTCGATTACATGTTCCTCAATAATTGACGAACTGTTGGAAATTAAATTTCTATAGATCAATGCCTTTGCCACGCGATAAAACAATTCTTTGACATTATAACGAGTTTTTGCACTTGTTTCAATAAACATTAAATTCAATTCTTCGGCTTTTTCTTGACCTTCTTTAGTTTCGATTACACGTTCGTCAATAAGATCCTTTTTATTTCCTACGAGCATAATAACCACATCCATGCCCAACTGAGCTCGTAATTCATCAATCCACATCGAGATTTGTACAAACGATCGACTGTTGCCAACATCATAAACCACTATCGCTGCTGCTGATTCACGTATATAGGAGGGTATTAGAGAACGAAAGCGCTCTTGTCCCGCTGTATCCCATAACTGAAGACGTACACTTCTTTGATCCACAACAATCGTCTTTGTGAGGAAGTCAATACCCACTGTTGCTTGATAAGTATTGTCGAAATTGTCATACATGAAGCGTGTAATTAACGTTGACTTTCCAACATTTCGTTCTCCCAAGAAAATCACTTTGAATTTATTTCTCGACGACATTGCAATTTTTTTAAATGAATACCTAGCCTACTGTAGTAGATTTCCGCTAAAGAATGATCTATATGCATTATAGATGGATAATTATTTTATACTGAATGTATGCAAATCATCTTTTGCGGTATATTTCTAAATTGGAAATACGTATATCTCTTAAAGTACGTTTACATTTAACCGGATTTCAATTGTCAAATCCATTGTATATATGTCAAATTAATCCTCATAAAGTAGGTTAACCCGGTAAAAAGTTCTAATGTAAAGCTAATCCAAAATTATTAATAAACAAATTTCTTGGGATTTACGTATTAACTATAAATTGTTAGTCATATTAATGATGTTATTGTGCATGTGTAGAACACTTTTTTTTAATTTAGTTCAATCACTGATGAAATAGAATGTGGTTTTTATAAGAAACATACCAAATGGAAAATCACTAATTCAGGTCATTTCAAAAAAGTTAGCAATTAAAGAAAATCGTCACGTTCAACTACATGACATGTAAATGGAAAGAGCTCTCACTTGCTAGGGAATTGATCACACACCGAGAACAAAAATTAGAATCCTAATGATTAACTGAAATCCATTTTGTTACTCCTCCACAATATATTGTGAAACCACAAACATCATTATAAAAATAAATATATTTGCACCAAACTGAGTTTAATAAAACTTATCATTTATACATCATATAAATGACGTGTCTCGAAAATTACAAGTCATGGGGTGAAAAAAGCTCTTTACAACGCCATCTTTATATTATTTTAATACCAGTCTTAACAGCTGGGATTTAAAACTTTTGGATTTTATAGGATTTACTTGTTGTATACTCCACTTCATTGGCTTTATTATTTCCACTTTTGACTAATCGATTATTCGACAATTTGTATTGAAAAGTCGACTTTTGGCCTTGCAGGAAAACTTTTCATGATCAACTTTAAATTTTCTTCATAAATACTGGGTTTATTATTACAAAGTCAGTAAAAGTCGAAAATCAATTTTGAACAAGAAAAATCGGCTTTTTGGTCAGAGGCAAAAATTGAAAATCTTAAAGTCTACTTTTGTGCTCGACCACGTATCCCTATGACAAGTTTTCGTAAACAGGGGAATTAATTATTAAATCAATTTTTTTTTTCAAAATTTCGTTTGACATTTTGCTTCACAAACAAAAATGATTGTCACTTACACCTTATTAAATACACCTTGCTCACATATATAAAATTTGACAGTACAAACGGCATTGATGGCTCGTGTAAAATTGACAGTACCTGGTAAAAATTTCTAATGTAAATGCTATTTAAGAACATTATTTTAAAAATGTATGAAACGCCAACATTTAAATATAATAAAAATATCGAAATTTCTTCCTGACATAGCAAAATGATGAAAAGTGTTGGTGTTATATATTTGTTTAGTCGCGGTCCACACTAAAGTACTTTCATGAAATTAGGCGGTCTTACAACGAGTTCTCCACTCTAGTAATTTAAAAAAGAATTGATTCAATGAGGAATTCCATCTATTTACTAAGAAGTAACAATTTCATGAAATTACCGTGGACAGGGGCATAGCATATATATACAGTGCTGCTCAAAACATTTGCAACCAACTCATTTTATTGAAATTATGGATGTTATATGAGGGAATTGTTGTATAATTATTTTTATTTTCCGATCAACTTTTCTAGGCGTTTCTGCTTTCTATGAGACGGATTTATGGACTTTATAAATTTCAGATATTTCTTTTTGAGACACTATTTTGTATAATATTACCACAGACAAGGGAGAAAAGAAGGAGTATTAAGTAGTTGCAAATGTTTTGAGCAGGCCGAATCATGTCTTTTTATATTCTTGGGAAAATAACAACAACATATTGAAATATATTATTTTTCCAAGTATTTTCCATTTTATTGCATTGCAGTTTTAGTTGCAAATGTTTTGAGCATCACTGTATATATAGAATTGTTTGCATTCAAATACGAATTTTCTAGACAGAGTATGCATTTGTTGTTGTTGTTTTTTCAACAACAACTTTAGTAATGCTCTAAAAATAATACTCATATATCACAAAACCACAAGTTTCTAAATTCAGCACACGATTTTAAATTACAACAGTATATCAAGTTTAATGTTTTATTGCTACATTCACAAACGAACAATCAGTATTAATATTGTATAGCCAGAGATTAAATATCGCGCTAAAATAATTAATTAAATAATTGTATTAATCATCCAGTTCATCTAAATGGCTTCTGGCGAAATTTCTAGTCCAATAACTAAATGTAAATTAGTCTTCTTGGGAGAGCAATGTGTGGGAAAAACGTCTATTATAACACGATTTATGTACGACAGTTTCGACAATACCTATCAAGCTACAGTAGGAATAGATTTCCTATCGAAAACTCTGTATTTAGATGATCGAACTGTACGCCTTCAACTATGGGATACCGCGGGTCAAGAACGTTTTCGTTCTCTAATACCATCCTACATTCGCGATTCGACAGCCGCCATTGTTGTCTATGATGTTACAAAACCAGTTACTTTCGAATATACTTCAAAATGGATCGCTGAAGTAAGAGCTGAACGCGGTAATGAGGTAATAATTATGCTGGTGGGTAATAAAACAGATCTGGCCGGTAAGCGGCAAGTCACAACGGAAGAAGGTGAAAGTCGAGCCAAAGAATTGAATGTTATGTTCCTAGAGACAAGTGCAAAAACCAGTTATAATGTTAAGAAATTATTTGAACGTGTAGCTTCCGCATTGCCGGCGGTAGCTTCAGCTGTTCCAAGAACGTCATCAAGTGATGAATATGAACAAAGAATCGAATTGGAAATGCAGAAAGAAGCAACACAAAAGAATGATAAGAAAAGTAATTGTTTTTGTTAAATATATTAAAAAATAAATATGTATTTTATTATGAGATAACATATTTGAAGTTTTATTAAAAAGGACATTTTTTTAAATATATACACCACATTTTCATTCTCATTGCGGAATCTCAAAATCGCTCTGAGAGCTAATCATGATTAAAAGCTGAATCAGGCTTTATTTTCTTCTTAATCATGCTAAAATTTTCATGATTTGTAATACAAAGTTAATAGACTTGTTTAAATCATGAATTATCATTATACAAATGTGATGCAAGTCAGTTTATGTAAGAAACAATACATTTCTGTCACAATGAATCAAAATTTGAAAATGTGTTGTTCATTGTTTTCTTTTTAATTGGAATGTGTTATAAGTATCATATAGAAAAATTCTATATTATAGTACGTTTGCATTATACCGGATTTCGTTAACCCAGTGGGTTTCAATAGTCTATTCCATTGTATACATGTCAAATAAATCCTAATATAGTAGGTTAATCCGGTAAAAAGTTCTAATGTAAATGCCGTTTTACAGATAAACAGGAGACACATTCGAAGATTTCTGGCATGCCTCTTTAACGGTGTCACTTTATTTACATATGCCACATGAACTCGTCGTGTAAAACATACGGAAATAGTATGTGAAACAAAAGGAAATCAGCTGTTTGGAAGAAACACATTTAAATTTTTTTTGAATTGAAAATCAAAGAAATTGAAAGGATGAAAAAATGATGTTGATTAAAAAAATTTAAAGTCATTGTTTTATTTGTAGTCATACGAAAAATCCATATGCAGGTATGAACGCAAAAACAAAAAGTCTTATAGTATGTTTACATTATATCGGAATTTGTTAACCCAGTGAGTTTAAATTGTAAATTCCTTTGAATATATACCAAATAAATCCTCATGAAGTAGGTTAACCCCGTAAAAAGTTCTTATGTAAATGCCGTTTTATGTACGATGCTAATTTGACGCAAATGCGGATGAAAGAAGTGACAGCACATATGTAAAAAACATAATGTATTGTTACGTTCTTGGATTTTACTTAATCCCGTGTAGACGTTGTTTTATTTCCCAGTACAGTTTGTACTAAATAAAACGCGTGTTCTTTCTGATTACGAATATTACAATGATTTTATTGACACAACTTTACTTTGTACTTTACTTTACTTGACGGTTCCAATTCGCGGTCTGATTCACAACTGACTAACTGCCTTGCCATTTCCCCTATTTATATGAGCCTTGCCTGTCGCTACAGAAGTTTCTAGACGATTTGGTAACACCTAGATTACGAACAATCTACCAATGCAACAAACACATACAAACTTACATTGAGTGAACAATAACAACAACGCAAATACAGGCGAGGGAGTAACAAAGAAAGAGGAATTAAGCGATAACCAATGATGACGTTTAACAAGAATTGTACGTCAACAACAAAATGGACAATGAAAGAGGAAATGGAAGGATGTAGAAAAATCTATACAGTATTTGTTGTTGTGAAGTTATTCGAAAAAACTGCGTAGTAGAAATTTACGTTACAATTCAAATTCTTAAATTAACGGAATTCATCTAAATTAACTTAAATCTAAAGTTATATTCGTAACAGTATTAAATGCCAATTTGTAAGGGGATGTTAGAGTCGGGCTTGAGTTTATACGCCGTTCTTTTTTTATTATTATACCATGGCATAATTATACAAGCTAGTCTTATACAGTCATCTTTCAATATTTAAATGAAAATATCTTCCTTCGAAATGCACGCATATCATGTGTACAATGGCAAAAATTGCTAAATAATCTATATTAATAAATATTTTGAAGTTCCCTGCCTCTAAAATTTATAAATATAAGTTACATTTGATTGATTTTCCCGCTTAATTGATTCAAAATTCATGTCATCAAAAATAAATTTACTTTTACCGGTTAATTGCATAATAATAATTGAAAAATAATCTGTCATTTTTTACATACATATTTGACATAATTTGTGAAAAAGGCTAGGCGGCATCTGTACTAATTCAAAACATATGTTTATTGCTAAGGAAAAACTTCGAGAAAGCGTAATTTGTATTTGACATTCGATTTTTTTAAATCATTAGTAGTTCCAATTATACGTGATTACTGTAATTGAACAAACTATTCACTTAAGCGGGTTTGAATAATTGGTTCTTCGGTTAATTGAACGAAAATTTGTGCAAAATTTGATGTGCAATTAACCGAAAAATACTGTACGTTAAATAATGCCAACTTAACATCCTATGATTGGATGAGATGAACAAATAAATTTAAATCGCTGGATGGAATAATCGTAATTTTATTTTCTAAAAATTACGCATTAATCCTGTGGGTATAAGTTGTCAATTCCATTGCATATACAGTGGTGGTCACGTAAATAAAAAATTAACTGTGGCAAACATTTTTGGATCAGTCCTCGATTCGTTTGAAGTACTTTTAAATTAAATTATTTTTAATTCAGAACACTTAGATGTAGTGTGAAAATATAGAATAATATCATGCAGTTTTTCCATAAATAACGGTCTTTGAAGTGGCCACATAATTAAAACATTGTGTGATTTTTTACTTTACTGCAGTTTTTTTTGGAAATGTTTTAAAGAAACTCATTAAATTTGATAAATTAAATAAACTAAGCACCGATAAAAAAATCTGTAAAATCTATTAAAATTGGCAACAATTTGTACAGTACACATAACATTGAGAAAATCACCCAAAATATGGAAAAAAAGGTCCGAATGTGCCAGAAATTGCTGGAACTAGTAGATATCAATAAATAATTCTTTAAATAAATAAATATTTGAAATAAAAACCCTAAATATGGGAACTAACCTAAAGGAACAATCCGATTTCGAAAGGCTTTATTGAAGAAGGCCGGAATTTTTTTGCAGTATGTGAGAAAATATCAATATCAAAAAAAAAGTTTTTTATGGAAAAATTGCAAGCTATAATTTAGTCTTTCCACACTAAATCTCTTAAGTGCAGTATATCTAAATGTTCTGAATTAAAAAAAAAAAAATAAGAATACTTCAAACGAATCGAGAGCTGATCAAAAAATGTTTGCCAAAGTAATATTTTAATTACGTGACCACCACTGTATGTCAAATATATCCTCATACCAAAATAAAAGGATTTATTTCGAATGTAATGGATGGAATTGAGATTTCAATAAAATACAATAAAATGTAAACGTGCTACTTTTGAGACAATAAACTCTCCTGAAAAATTGTTTAAAAAGGGACTTATCGCCTTTACAAGTTAAGCCAGCGATATTTAGTTTAAATATATGATGTTAATTGTAATAACGTGTTGAAGCTCCTGAATAAAAATTTATAATAGTTACCGTAGTCGAGGTCCTACTGTATTTGTAGATATCACAAAGTCGACATTACACCAAATCACTGTATTACCACTACTAATACTAAACCAAGTGGCAACATTACACGTCGCCGTAATTGACATATGTGTTGGCCGATAAAACAGTTCATCCAATCAGGCAAATAACTTTTTGGTGGTGACTCAGTTGGAGAATGTCAATTTTTACGCTTTTAACAAAAATTTAATTAGCAATACAATCGGGGACAACAATACAGAGAATTTATTCAAAAAGGAAGTGAAGAACAGAGTGCAATTAATACAAATATCTATACAATATACTATTCATAAACGCTGCGCTACAGTAACAAAGTAAAGAAAAAAATACTCATTGCAAAGGAGGACAAGTGCTGCTGCGATTAGAAGAAAAAACTACGCATAGGTGAAAAAAAAGTTTCAAGTAACCAGCCCAGCCCCGAATACGCAAGCAACGACAACGCAAACTACTTACTACTCCATTCATTCAAGTCATTCAAGAAGTAATTGTTGACAAGATTATTTTGGATTTAGGTGATAATTTGTTAAAAACTATCATCATCATTGGTAGAAGTCGCAGCAGTAGAAGAAGTTAGAAAAGCAATTGTCGTTGTGTACGAAAGAAAAGCAATAAGCAATTAAAGTGTTTCAGCACATTCTGTGTATACGTGGTGGGCCTGTTTAAACAAGTTACGATCTCTATTTCTTTTTATTGTATTTGGCATTTTTATACATAGAAAACAAAAACTCTCATCATGTCCGGAGATTTTGCAAATCCTTTGCGTAAATTTAAATTGGTGTTCTTGGGCGAACAGAGTGTGGGCAAGACATCGCTAATTACACGCTTCATGTATGACAGTTTTGATAATACCTATCAGGCCACCATCGGCATTGATTTCCTTTCAAAGACAATGTACTTGGAAGATCGTACAGTGCGCCTACAATTATGGGATACTGCCGGCCAGGAACGTTTCCGTTCATTAATTCCATCGTATATTCGCGACTCGACCGTGGCTGTGGTCGTCTATGATATCACCAACACAAATTCATTCCATCAAACGTCTAAGTGGATCGATGACGTGCGAACCGAGAGAGGCAGTGATGTCATTATCATGTTGGTTGGCAATAAAACAGATCTGTCGGACAAGCGGCAAGTGTCGACGGAAGAGGGTGAACGCAAGGCGAAAGAGTTGAATGTGATGTTTATTGAAACAAGTGCCAAAGCCGGCTATAATGTGAAACAGCTGTTTCGACGTGTGGCTGCTGCATTGCCGGGCATGGACTCAGCGACAGAGAATAAACCAAATGAAGATATGCAAGAAATTACACTTGACACACAAAAAGAAACAAAGGATCCCGAAGGAGGCTGTGCCTGCTGAATGCTGTCGCTGCTATTAGTTTCAATATTCCATTGATTCCATCTCCAACTGTCGTCGACATCGGCCCCTACTCCAAACAAACATTCAATCAACGACTCATGTTTCACCCACAACAATTCATATACTATGAATGATGACATACCCCAGGCTACCAAGAGAAATAATATCAACAACAACAATATATGTAGGATTGTTGTTTGTTTTTCTTTTTTTTTATAAAAGGCAAACATCCTCTCAATCTCTCCATACCGAAAACAAGACTTTGTCAAACTTAATTTTTTTAAACTAGTAAAGTAGCTAAAAATAATGAAAAAAACAACACCCTAACAAAAGAAAAAAAGTAAAAACAACATTTTTTAAAATCAACAACAAGCCAAAATGTGTGTGTACACAGTTTTCCAAAGGGGAAAGTAAATTATTTCTTTTTTTTAGTTCAAATGGATTTGATATATCTATTTATAATGAAACGAAAAAGAAAAGGACTTTCTAGCACTTATCATAATGGCAACTTCATATATAGTATATACACACACACATTTTTTTATATATTCTTACATTCATTTCTACTATACAATTATTATTTTTTTAAAGATATATGTAATATTTAAGTTTATTTATAACGTAAAATAAATAATAATGATGATGATTATAACACAAGGAAAAGAAGAATAATGAGAAAAATCCATTCAAAAATAAATAAAACAAAAATCTAAAAAAATGTTGAATTTATGTAAATTTTGAATGTGGGCGGAGTAGTGTAGTAAGTATCTGTGTTCGTTTAGAAAATATAATGTAAGCTTTAAGCGTTTTGGTATGGTAACATGGGTTACATTTTTATCTTCAAGTTTTCAATTTTATATTTGTCTTAAGAATGTTTTTTGCATTTCTGGCTATTTGGGTTAAATTTTTATCTTCAAGCTTTCAATTTTATATTTGATTTTTCTATTATTGTCTTAATGTTATTTGCATTACTGGAACAAAATGTTGTCGTTGCACAATGTTCAATCTTAATATACACAAAGATTGTGCTATCAGGTATTTTGAAATACTGTAATGTATTGGCATATCTAAATAAATTCAAAATTCTATTTCTGCTTTTATTAAAAGATTTCAAACGATGTATTTTCATTGCAAGTATAATACAATCTTTAAACTACATATGTATGTCGAAATTTCCTATTATATCTTATCATTTATTTTATCGCATGTTCTACTAAACCAAATTCAATGACTTGCCTTTTCAATCATCATCATCGTCACAGCTAATAGGTGTAATCACGGCACGGTTAAATTAACCTCATTCTATTTTAAACTTGTAATCAAGAACAGCAGGTTTCTTTAGTTTTATCACTGGCCTACCTCAACACTTGGGTATATTTAAAATTACAATGGTCCCACAAAAGCACTTTGCATTTGGAAACCAATACACAATACTAAAATGCTTTAAAACAGTCGGAAGAGGCTGTCTATGATATTCTATACCATATTGGAAATGTAATAAGAAGTGGTCATATGGTTCGTATTGTAACTTAAAGTAATATATATATATTTATAGATATACTTATATTATCTTCCTGTCATATATTGTTGGTCGATTTAATGGCAAGCTCTAAGCCCAGTGCGAAAAATTATAAAAAATGCTTTGAATATGCATGTTATTTTGTGTTTGTGTAATTTGTAGATCTTCTCCCATCATAAGCTTTCAGATTTTGGCGGTCTTTCAAGATTTTAGTGCTGCACAGGGTAATCTATACTAATAAAAGAGTAAAGTGATTAACGATTCATCGACGCCCAGACGAAACTGCTAAAGCTAGAATCTTGAAATTTTGGGTGAGGGTCACTCTTGGTCCAAAGGTGACAGATAAGGCTGGGTTTTTGGAAATTCGTACTAGAACGGTACGAAAAGTACTAAATGTACCACTTGCATATGGCGAACCGGTAGAGCTAGAACTCTTAAATGTTAAATGAGGGTCATTGAAGGGGTGTAAAATATATATGGTATTATATCCAGAAACTTGGATTTAGGATCACCGTAGCGGTGTAGGATTGGAGTATGTTAAACGTTTTGGAAATTCGTACTACTGTGTACTAAATTTGGTACAATTTGAATTGTAAGTGAACTGAAAGAGTTGGAATGCTGAAACTTGGATTTAGGATCACTGTGGGGGCGTTGGTTTGTGTTAAGTAGGAAGTTTTGGAAATTCGTACTACTGTGTACTAAATTTGGTACAATTTGAATTGTGGTAAACTGAAACTTGGATTTAGGATCATTGTGGGGGTGTAGGTTTAGGGTAGGAAGGAATTTTTTGGAAATAAGTACTTCTATGTACTAAATTTGGTACAATTTGAATTGTGAACATATGGAGTTGGAATCTTGAAACATGGATTTAGAATCACCGTTGGAATGGAACTAAATTTGGATTTTGGTGAACCTTTAGAGTTAAAATTTTGAAATGTGGTATTAAATGGTACTCAAATTTAATTTATAGTCGATATTAATGCTTGGATTTTTTATCTGGCATATGCAGTTTTCTGTGAAAATAAAATAAAATGTTAATACTTGTTTAAGTATTTCCTACATTCGCTAACGAAGTTGCGGGCATATGCTAGTTTATATATAAAATTTAAAACTAACAAAAACTTTAAAAAATTTATAAATTTTTTAATTATTATATGTTCTTTAAATTGGCATAAGCGTCTTCAAATGTTGGCTCCCCAGCCATAATAAAAGATGTGTGTATTTATATATTGTATATGTATGTCCAGCGAGTAGTAACCCAACTAATAGATAGGTCATTACAACCTAAAAAAACTATAACCCAGAGGAATCTTGAAAACGATTCTAAACGCCAAACCGAAAACTATTATAGCTATTTTTTATGTTTAAATATTCGTAATTGAAGTGGGAGGAAATTCCAACACCTTGTTAGGGGAACTAAAAATCACCTCGCATTAATATTTTTATAAATCTTTGGAATAATTATCTGAAGATTTGTCGAGGAGTGTGAGAATGTAAATATTCCGGCGAATATTTACATGAGAGATATTAGATGAGAGAGATATAAAAAAAAACAATATGCAAATAGCAAACAATTTGGACCGAAAAATGGAAAACTAATCATGAGAATAGTTTCAATACCTTAAAGAGTTACAAATCACTTTTTGGATAAAATGACCTTTTAGAAATTCAATATGGTTTGTGAAATTTCAGAATTATAGTTAGATAGGGGATAGTTTTTAAGTAGGTAGCATACCGTACATATTATGATTTGACCGATAGAATGATAGACACTTCCAAATAGTGAGGAATTATTCCATTTCCCATTATGATTTCCTATTTAAATTCCTCCCAAAAAGAAAATACCAATCCATTTGTTTCTGCCTCCGATTAGGCATTTAGCGCGGCATTTTTATTATTCTATATATTGTTAACAATATTTTCACTTGAGGCATTTCAATGACAAAAACCAAAAAAAATGCGTGCTTATTTCATTTCATCATATTCAAGTCGAACTTACATAGTTTCATATACTGTTGTTGTTGTTATCATTTTTGTTATACTCTCTTTAAATAAATAGTAATTGTAAGAAATTGTATTAAGTAAATTTATTGAAATATTACGCATATTTAAAAACTATCTTCATTTGTAATGAATTCATCGCGGATCTTTTGTAGTTTGCCAATCAAATCGGTAATCGAAACCTCACCATGTACTTTGTTATCGCGTGTACGTACATTTACGGTATTCGAAGAGCGTTCCTTTTCGCCAACGACCAAAATGAAATTAAATTGAGCCAGTTGAGCATTACGAATTTTCTTATTCATTGTATCGCCAGCATCACAATCAGCTTCGACCATAAAACCAGCAGCGTGCAATTGATCGCGTACCGATTGGGCATATTCATCGAATTGTGGTCCAACAGGAACGACCATTACTTGACGGGGTGACAGCCAGAATGGCCATTTGCCGGCATAATTTTCGGTAAGAATGGCAATCATGCGCTCAACTGAACCCAAAATAGCTCTGTGTATAATAACGGGACGTTTCTTTTCGCCATCATCGGCAATATAGTTCAAATTGAATCGAATGGGAAGTTGGAAATCCAATTGGATGGTGGCACATTGATGTGCTCTCTTCAAAGCATCCATAATGGTAATATCGATTTTGGGACCATAGAAAGCACCATCACCAGGATTTTCTTTCCATGGCATGCCGAATTCATCGAGAGACTCGGCCAAAGCCTTTTCGGCAGCATTCCATTGCTCCAAATCGCCCAAATACTTTTCTGGTCTGGTCGAGAGTACCAAATTAAAGGAGAATCCAAAGATGGTGTAGACATGACGCAAAAAGTCTAAGCATCCCTTCATTTCGCTCTTGATTTGCTCGGGTGCACAGAAAATGTGAGCATCATCTTGTTGGAAACGGCGTACACGAGTGAGGCCTGTCAAAGCGCCGGACAATTCGTTACGATGTAAAACACCAAAATCGGCCATACGCAAGGGCAATTCACGCCACGAACGGTTGCGTACGTCGAACATTACACTATAGTGGGAGGAATAGTTTAATAACAACATTATTTAAAATTACTTTAAGACAAATAATTGTTTGTAAACAAAAAAGGAGGGTCTACTACAGATTGAGATCTTATTCAGCTCTTCTTTACTGAGATCTTCTACAAATTATACACTTTCTACAAATCTTATATATAGATGATCTTCTTCACCTTCTCTATAGATAGAATATTTTCTTTCTAAAGCAAGAAGACTTTCTTTAACTGTTATGAAGACCTTTTTCAGAATAACTAACACAAATGATTGATTAAATTTCTAATAAACACCTACCAGTGACCAGGACAATTCATTGGCTTCAATGCAAATGTTTCCTTTTCAGCCTCAAATGAGAACATATTCTCGGCATAATGCTGCCAATGGCCAGATGTTACCCACAATTTCGAATTGTAAATATTCGGTGTAATAACCTCCTGGAAACCACGTTTTCTATATTCTGATTTAATGAAATTCATTAGAGTATTATAGATGTGAGCTCCACGGGGTTGGAAGAAACACGATCCAGGAGATAGTTCATGGAAAAAGAAAAGCTCCTGCTCCTTGCCGATTTTACGATGATCACGTTTTGCTGCTTCTTCTTGAATCTTTTCCCATTCCTTAAGTTGTTTGGGATCAGGGAATGAAATACCATAGACACGTTGCAATGTCTCAGCATCAGCTTTACCCTCCCAATAGGTAGAGGAGTTCTTGGTGATTTTCAAAGCCTTTACCTTGCCAGTGTGGCGGACATGGGGACCACGACATAAATCAATTAAGGGTCCACATTTGTAAACAGTGGTAGTGTCCGTTGTAACTTTTTCATTCAAAATTCGGCACTTGAATTCATTGTATTTGAACATTTCCAATAGATCGGCTTTTTTCATTTCAAGACGTTCGAATGGTTGTTTTTCCTTAACAATTTGTTTGATTAAGCCCTCCATGACTGGGTAATCGTTTGTGGAAATCTGTTGGAATGAAATTTTGAGTTAAACGACGTTTAATAAAAGATATTAAAGGAACTTACACCTTCGCCTTCCAAATGCATATCGTAATAGAAACCATCAGCAATTGGTGGACCATAACACAAATGACCACCATAAATACGTTCCATAGCCTCGCCCATAATATGAGCTGAACTATGCCAGAATACGGCCTGCGCATCAGGATCGTCGAATTTCAACAAATGCAATGTACAGTCTCCCTCCAAGACACGATCTAAATCCCATACCTCACCATTAACCTTAGATATAATGGTATTATCGGCCAAGCCTTGACTAATACCCTTAGCTACATCATAGGGTGTAGTTTCCCATGATGTACCATCGACTTGTTTACCATCGGGCAAAGTGATCTTAATGGGATTACGTGGCTTGGCAGCTAATTCAGCTAAATATTCAGCTTTGCATTTTTCCCACAATGCATTACGTTCCTCAATATATGCTGGCCATGGATTAAGTTCTTTGACTGTAAAGAAGTAAAAGAAAAAAATAAAAATTGTGGTAAATTTATTATCAACAAACTAGTAATGAAATTAAGTGAGAGACGTTCAAGAACGCCAAAGTGAGGACAAATTTAATTTTTTGCAAACGTTCAACAAATTATCTCGCTTTTTTAAAGATACAAAGAACACCCTGCATGTGGAAATGCAACAAGAGTGGTTTCATTAGAAATTTGGTTCTAAATAATTGCTTCCTGGACATCTTGATTGACCACAAAAGGTACGACCTGTTAATAACTAAATCCTTCAAATCGCCACGTTTGATATACTCATAGTTGATCAGGTAATCCGACTGCATCAAATACCTTTGCTGGTCTGATTGTTTCCGCCATATAATCAGACTTGTAATTCATACGAATTTATTGGATATCGGCACATTTACTACGGTGACTAATAGTTCCTCTACCGACATTAAATATTTTGAAGGATGTGGGATATATGAATAACCTACACCGTTTTGTTTTTCCATTTGTTCTGCGGCGAGTGCATGAACCATCGATCGGTGGTCTATAGTTCTTAGGCAGCGTATGACTCGGCTTCCCGGCCTACGGGATGAAGATCACTGTTACCTCTTTCCATAGACTAGGACATTCATACCCGTTAATCAGCGTGTTGCAGCATGGCCGGTTCGGACCATATTCTCAAAAAATTTCTCGGCAGCAGATTCCGTAGCGAACTTTGCGACTACACCGCCGTTCTTTTCAAATGAGGCGGGGACTCTCCACTTCATCTGAAGACGGCCGTTCTGCTTTTAACCTTAGTGTGTTCTCCAGCCCCATAAAAAGGGGTGGGATCCACTCAAAGGTTAACATTCCGCTTGGTATATCTTGGACCGCTACGGCTGCCAGTCAGCTACATTATCAAAGAGGGTCGCAGCTGTTGTCTTCTTAAGGAAGTCCGCTGTATCCTTAGTTCGACAATTAACAACTTTGACAATTAACAACTTTGACCCTTTTGTATCATCTAGCAGATCATCCAGTACCTCCTGTGGAGCAGCAGAGTCGCTAAGCGCCGTTGAAGGTTTCTAAGATACCTGCTTGGAGACAGCGTGTTTGATTTTCACCACACACTCACCGCTCTTGGCAGGTTTCTACTTCGACACTACTAAAGACGCAAACGAAGCAGAGCTTTGTGCAGCTGACGACTGTATGGGTCTCTTGGCAGCAGGTTGTTGTTCCTCCGAGGACCTCATTCTCTTAACAGCTGTAGGCTGTTGCCGAGATTTGGCACCCGGGTTTACAATCGCCGACGAAATAGGCCCAGCCGAGAACTTCCGGATGAATTTGAAGTTCCTTTTGATCAAAAGGAACTACTTTCCCGTGATGGCGTCGCTGTCCCCTCCAATGAATCGGTTGCAGTAGTTAACCCCTCTCCGGTACATCTTCTTCGCAGCGATCGACTTGCCTTGCAGTTACTGGTGATTCATCCATCTTATCGACGGGAGTCTCATCAGTACCAGTATCCGCATCGACAGCCAACTGCCTGAGTAGTCTCGCGACATCACTAGAGGGCATGGAGACTGAGTTCGGATCCTCAAACTCGCCATGGTTTACATCCCTACTCAGCATCTGGGAGGACTCACCTTGCTTCGGAGGAGACACCAGGATCGCTACCGAGTCTGTCACCGTAGTGCGTTAGGAGGGTATTTCCTATAGAGTTTTCGCTTTAGTAGAGTATTGCAATCAGAAGGGAGTACTTTAAGTGCGAAGAAAATGCTTGATTGGATATATAGATTAACGGAATTCAGTCTAAAATCTTAAATATCTTTATAAGATAGGCACATGCGAAAGATAGTATATATAATTTCATGATATGCATATATAGATCTAATATATTCACAGAGGCGAGAGGAGAGTTCCCGTTCTATACAGTATAAAATATTTACTTCATAATTTTATTATTTACGAACATATGAAGTGGAATATGCTACAATTATATATACCGGCCGGTTTCATAAGTTTTTCTAATTCTTACCTTTCTTGCCAGTATCAGCAGGAGCATTCTTTTGCTTTTCCTTCTTCATCTTATTGGCCTGTAAGTGTAGGAAAAAGAAGTAAAAAAATCAATATTATACATTATTTCGAATTCGCCCCTTTATAATGTAGGGCATAGAAAACAAAACACTTGAAACAAGAAACACCAAAGTATTTATGTATTACAATTATGTATGTATTGAATTATTAAAAAAAAACCGTATGTGATGGGGTCTGGTGGTATATTTACGTGTCAATATAACAAAAGATAAATAAATAATGAAACTTTGTCCATGATACGAGTTCTTGTTTAATGGAACAATTTAGTTTTTTTTTTTTTTTTTGCTTTATAAAATACTTTTTTCGTCATTTTGATAACTCCACAAAATACAACGTGTTGTTATACAAATGTGTGCGTTTGTATCTATTTTCTCAGTTAAAGAAAGTTGTTGTTTGCGCTGACAAAACAATTTGAAATAGCTGGGGAATTGTTGTCTTTTTATGTCGTATTGAGAATTGATTGAACCCGGAATAGAAATAAAAACAGATATCATGTATGTAGTAATGTTTTAGGTGTGAATACAAGTAGTGACTGATGCAATAACATGGGTTAATTGTGATATTCGGTATGTGTGATGAAAATAAGAGGCGTAGTAGGTAGGTAGTGGTAACACTGGGGAGAAAAGCTTTCAAAAATATATACAGAGTTGTAACAAGGATGGCATTGTGCTATACAGCGGTAGTAGTTGTTGTTATGGTAGAAAGCTTTCGTTTGATAGGAAAATAAATCATTTGCTTTATGGCACATATAGATTTAGGGTGAATATTACACAAGGATTTTAAATTCATAGATAGTATAAAACAAATTAATAGTCTGTGGAATAATTCCGTATTACAGATTTAGGATCTGTTTATATTTTTAATTGCCTGAGTTGTCAGGACCTAATGAACTCATTATTTCGAACTCGAATTGAAGACGATAAATCACCAATTAATTGGCCTAATTTGGTTTGAACATATGTGGTAGATAAGTTCTGTGTCATATCTATCTATCATAGGGATTGCTATTGAAAATGGGGTAAGAGCGACCTTCATAACAAAGGCTGGAAACCCCGATCACACGTAACAACTTTCTGTTGTAAATAAATGGTAAGTTGATCGGGAAAATATTAAAATATTAAAGATTTTTTCTAATGATCCTTTGGATACTGATTCAAACCACAATTATTGTTTGGGGATAACTTCGTACTTCCGTGGGTATGGAGTTCCAATTTTTTTCAAAATAACCCCATTTGGTTTTCATATGTGGAGTTAAGGGTTGAGCTTAAATTTGAAATCAAAAGAAAAATCTGCTCGCGTTGCCCAATTTTCCAATTGTCCATAGGAGAAATAGTATGTATATATTAAATTTTAGAACCCCATTCCTTCGGAAATATCAAAATTTCAAAAATATTATGTGGTAAATAATTCAAATGCTTCGGATAGGTATTCTTAAAGATATTAAAAATGGGGATATTTTTGGAAATTTGAAGCACCATATCTCGGGGTATTATCAAAATAAAATTTATATATTTTTAATTTCAAATTAAAAAAAAGTAATAACTTGCTTTTAATAAATATAAATCAAAGCCGGCAAAATAAATTTCCATCACACCAAAAACATACACCCACTAGCCCTGCAATGCCAACATTTTACAACTCTGTATAAAATCATCATCATCATTGAGTAGTATACGTAACAGGGGGCTGCTAAATGCACATGCATTCGATTCCGATTCCAATATGAATCACATTCAGTTCTGTGGAACACACACACAAAATGCATAAATTAAATAAATAACACACAATTATTCTAAAATATTTAACATTTGTTTTTGTCAATAACAATAACACCAACCAAAGTAGCGTAAGATCTTAAAAATGTCCCCTGATTATTACAGCAATTTATTTCCCGGTATGGTAGACGTAGTTGATGTTGTTGTTGTTGGGGTTGCGAACGTTGTCTGTTATTGCGGCTGGTCAAAATGGAATTGACACAATTCGCTGATGATGATTGTATTCGCACACGTAAATTTGGACTGCTTGTAATTGAGCGTATTTGAAATGCTTTTATTTCTCGTCGTTTTAACACTTGCACAAATGTATTCATAACTTTATTTAATGCAGATTTTTAGCTTCCACCAATTTCTTTTTTCTTTTATGCTTATATGGAATAGTTTAACATGCCTTTTCTTTATTTAAATCCAAATTTTGCAAATCGGGTACCACGTTGTCAACCATTTTACTAGCAATAATCTGTAGAGTTCTTCTTCTTCTTCTTCCAACATATGTTACCATATGTCAATTCCACCATAATGGGGTGGAATTTAAAGTGACATGAGACACGAAGTCTATGTTGCCACTTTCACGGGTATAATTTTATTTCTTGGGTATTTTGTAGATTAGATTTTTCACGGGTAAGTATTTTTAGGTTGAGTTGTCTGTTTTTAGATTTTAATGCCTACTTCTTTGTAGAAATTCCATAAATAGTTGTAGGCTTTTATGTTGCTTTTCTGAAGTATGATATCAATTGTTGGTTGTGGTATGTCTAGAGTACGTAATTTCGATATCCGGGCAATTAAAAGTGATGTGGTCCATAGTTTGTATGGCTCCACAATCACATCTGTCTGAGCTGGTAATGTTGATCTTGTGAAGATGATGTCGCATTTGATTATGGCCAAATCTTAATCTTGAAATGGTTGTCACTACTCCTCGGTGTGTTTTTATATTTTGAAACCAAGGGTTACAGTTGACTCTCGGTGAGAAAGCGAAGAAACGTCTGCCAAATATACTGGCATTCCATTTATCCTGCCAGGATTTAACAGCTGAGGATCTATTTAGTTGTTTTAAACGGCATTTACATTAGATCTTTTTACCGGGTTAACCTACTTTATGAGGATTTATTTGGCATATATTCAAAGGAATTGAAAATTTAAACCCACTGGGTTAACCAAATCCGGTTAAATGTAAACGACGTTTTAGATCTGATGCAAACATATCGGGATATGTATCGGTCGGAATGTGATTATTAGCAATAGAGTCCACGTACTCATTTCCGTTGATGCCGCAATGGCTTGGCACCCACAAAAAGCGTACAGAGTAGCCCTCCCTACACATTTGATACACCTCATTCTTTATTTTATAAATAGAGGGATGGGTATTTTTGTTGCTTTGGGAACTGATGGCTTGTAGGACGGACTTGCTGTCAGACATTTTAGCCAAGTCAATTTTTTGACAAAGCCTAGAATTAGGTTAGGGTCTATTTTGGAGAAGAAGACTAGATTATCAATTTCATAACATCCAAACTGTTTATGTCTTCTGCTGATCAGCGATGGACATTTGCAAAGGATGTGCTCAATTGTTTCCACTTCTTCTTCATCCTCACATAGACGACAGTAATCCTCTCCACTGGAGTCCCACTTAGAAGTGAGAGATCTAACTTTGCAGTGACCAGTAATGATCCCCACAACGATCTTGATCTCCCTCTTGTTGAGATCCAGCAGCGAAGACGTTCTTTTACGAGAGAATTCTGGCCAGATAGATTTAGAGATTCTGCATGCAGGTTCCCTTAGCCATCTGTTGCCGACTACCTCGCAATGGAACGCGCGGATTCTGCCAATGAAATAGCTAATAGGGGGTTTCACAGATCTCTCAATCAGAAGACTGGACGACTGTGACCCCCCTCGAGCAAGCTCGTCGGCTATCTCATTCCCTTCAATATCGTTATGTCCTGGAACCCAGCATAACCCAACTATTTGACGTATATCATTCAGAGCGGTTTTACAATCATGAACTGCTTTCGAGTTTATAGTATGCGACTTCACCGCTTTCAGGGCCGCCTGACTATCTACGTAAATAGTCACCGGTCCTGTAATGTCTGTATTAAGTGCTTTTACTATCTCGGCCGCTTTCGTGATTGCAAGAATCTCTGCTTGAAAAACGCTACAATCATTGTTGAGTTTATATGAGTTTCGTATACCTAATTCCCTGCAGTAGACGCCTGCGCCAGTGCCTTCCTCCATCTTGGACCCGTCTGTGAAGATTGACAGACCTGGCAGAGGTAGGGAGCCACTAGTCCAGGATTCCCTGCTTGGAAATTCGACTTTAATGTCATTAAAATCCCTATGGGGGGAATATAGTCACTGATATGACTATCCCCCCTAAAAAGGTCATAACTTGG